TCACAGGCAAGAGTAATTTTAAGAGACTTAAAATCTATATTCTTAACTTCCAAATGTACACCTTCCTAGACTGATATACCTAAGAGCACTCCCGTGGTGATGGTTCTTCTTTCTCAACTTTCCTTCATGCTAATTTTTTTCTACTTTACCTCTCACTCAGAGAGCCTTACTAAGTAGGGCACACTGTCCCAGGACACAAAATGTCCAATTAGAAATATTTGCATCCTTAGGGTACCTGTCTCAGTCGTTTAAGAGTCCAGCTTCAGCTCAGGTCACGATCTCATAGTTCATGAGTTTGAGCCTGGTATCAGGCTCTGTGCTGACAGCTCAGAGCCTGGAGCCCGCTTTGGATTCTGTGTCTCCCTTGCTCTCTGCCCCTCCCCTGCTCTCTGCCCCTACCCAACTCACAGTCTGTGTCTCTCAAAAATAAACAAACGTTAAATAAATACATATTTGCTTCCTAGAAGACTTCTTATGAGAGGGAATCCATAATTTTTCAAAATTCTTTATAACATCTATTATTTAACTAACTTGTATCTGCTTTCAGTAATGAAGTAGGGACTCACTTTTTAGGGCTCTGGTATAAAAAATTAATCAGATGCTTGCCGTAATGCACTACCATAATTTACTAAAGCTTCTGAGTATGTGAAAACTTTGGTCAGTGTGTGTATCTCTTTTACTCAAAACCATGCAAATGGGAGGCAAGTACAATTTGATTTACACGAATAATCTTACTGATATGAAAGTTTAGGTCATAGAGGGCAAGAGATAAACAATTTTAAGAAGTCCCCACCTTTTTTAAATGAATATATAGTTAATTTCCTACATTTGTAAGAATTCACTCCCTTCTTCATACATCTTCACACATGTTACACATTCATCATGCCAAAGCACCGATTTTTTTCCTGGATGTCTAGTGAGGAAAATGAATGATCATTGTTATTTTGCACCAGTTTGAATGTGGAGATAAAAGCCTCTGAAAGTAGAAGTGTTAGTAATAACATTTACATGTCTTCTTACAAATTACAATGTAGTTTTTCTTATACTACCTCATTACACAATAGCTCTGAGGGTATGGAAGTTATTTTTACCTCTATTTTACAAATGAGAAAATTGACATGGCAGAGGATATCCAGGTAGTAATAAGCCAAACCAGGATTAAAAGTTAAGCCTTTGGACTCTGAAGTCTGTGATTTCCCACTCTATTAAACCACCTCTTGTGAAAATTGCTCAACTTGCTAAAGACTGTGTTCTCTAGGTAAGCTTTTATAATATGCAGTTGGGGTGATGACCTCACTGTCAAAGTGCAAAATCTATCTTAATTTTGGGTAGGAAAGCAATTTATGTATGATTTATAATGAAGTGACTTCCCTCCCCCAGAAATTCGCAAAATGTATTTCCTACGTCTATATGAGGAAACATGGCGTTTAAATAACCTTTCAAGTGTGCTTCAAGGAAATGAACTGTATCTTTTAAGATTTCAAAGAAGCATTCATGTCTAGAAAAAATATAAAGAAGGACCTTGTTAATAAGTCACTTGGTCTGTTTCATTGGTTTTTGGCAGGGTACTGTTAATACAAATTCTAACTCAGAACCCTCTGGTGATGGGATAGGAGGAGCTAGTGAAACATGAATAGAAGGGCGTGTGGTCCCACACTGGCCTGGCATTTGGTTCTTAACTGGACATTGCATCGTTGGAGCTTTCGGCTCTAGAAACAAGAATATTCCAGTGTGATTTGTGAGTGTTCTCACTCTTCAAGCTTGTGCTGTACACCACAATTGCTAAATTGTAGCTATTGTTTGCTTTACAAGAACTTTACAAGAACTTGGGAGAAAAAACACAGGATAAAACTATGTTAACGTGCCAGGGAAAGGGAAAAGGATGTGGACAGATGGGGGGGAAGGATGGGGTGGCAAATAATGACCAAAACAAGGATGCCCTAAAAATAACACACATGATATAATCACATTTATGTAAAATACATGAATAACTATATACATGTATCAAATGATCATACGTCTATAATATTGTGTATAGAGATTTTATTTTTTAATTAATGAACTATTTTAGAACAGTTTGAAGCTTACAGAAAAATATGCAGAATGTGCAGAGTTCTCATATACCACCTCAACTATCACTATATGTATTATTATAAACAAAAATTTGTTATATCTTCTGAGGTTTTTTGCTACTTTTGACAAATTAATTTAAATCTGGGGAGTATCACCATGGAAAGAATGCTCTTAAAATTACCCTTATGAGGACAACACCTTGGACTGGTCAGTGATTTTCAGATGGCACTACGTGAAACAATCTGGGCTGGAGTCAAAGAAACTGCATCTTTAACACCTGGGTGACTCTGATGCACAGGTTGAGAACTCCTGGGCCAGAAATTCTCATCCCTGAGCAGAAAACTCTCTTGAAAGTGTTTCCCACACCACCTCCACATAGAGATCTGATGTTTGACGCTCCAATTTAAACCAAAACAAAATGTTGTGTTCATTTTCAAATGCTGTTTGAGATGTCAGCACAGAAAAAATTATTAGCATCTGAGGTAGTCTATGGACCAATGAACACAATAAACTGAGTGATAGTGCAAAGTGAAATTTTTAAAAATCTCATATACTCTTTACTTGTTTGGATATCAAAGGTGAGGAAACATTAACGTATCAAAGCCCTCTAATAGATGATGTAATGTCAATTATTATCAACACACTTTGCATACTGTGTATATATACTCTTTTGGTGTACACATTTTGATGAAATATATGTGGAATTTTTATTGAAATTATTAGGCCGTCAATGTTATGTGGCAAAATTCCAAAGGCAAATAGAACTTATGTGACTGTGTATTTCAGAATGAGATTCTGAATTAGTGTCTAATCCCAACTGACCCAAGGGCCCGTCACAGGTGTTTTAAACTCAGTTCCAAGGTTGGAGATGAGCTTTAAGACCCTTACTAGGCAAAATGTGGTTCCTATACCAGCAGTATCAATGTTGTCTGGGAACTAGTTAGAAATGCAGACACTCAGGTCCCAGCCCAGACCCACTGAAACAAATCCGCATTTTTAACATGATCCCCGAGATGATCATCTGCACGTAAAAATTTGAGAAAACTTCCCTTCAGCTATGTCAGAGTCCCGATCCTTTCCGGATTCTCCCAGCTTTGAACTAACTTCCAGCACAACCCCCTACTTCTCCAACACATCCACACACCCCATTATTTTTATTTTAGATGATCATCTCCTGCCCCTTGTTCTCATTTTCAATGGGAAAATCACACAGATTTGAACTAGGTTAACTCACAGGCTTCATTCACAAGTTGCCCTCTTTTGGCCAAAGAAAACTTTTCATCTTGATAGTTAATATTTCTGAATAATTTTCTGACAGACCTGAGCCCACCCAATAGGGTCTTCAAAGCTGCAAGTAAAGGAGAGGGTGTGGGTCCTTCTCTCTAGCTAGTACAAGGGTGCTCACCATTAACTATCCTACATCTTTGCTTCGCAGCCTTGCTGAAGTCTTCCTGGGATTGTACTTAAGTAAAAAGCAGTGAGCCCATTTAAAAAACGTCAATAATTTGTTGTATGCAAGGAAAACAGTGTTCTTACAAACAGTAGTGTCATAAGTTCCTTCCATTTCAGTGTTCCAGAAAGCTGCTGCTGCTCCTAAATCACCATTATTACTCTGGAACCACTTGGGAACATGCTAATATACGTCCAAAGCAATGTCAGTATTATTGTTTATTTTACTTTCATTATCTACATAGGCACAGTCCAAACTAGGTAGGTTGCTGTAATTCTGCCTTCTCTGGAAGGAGACTGGGGGAAAGGATGTAATGGTAACAAAGAAAAGCAGCCAATAGTTTTAGTAAATAACACTGCAAAACCCAGATATCATTTCTTATTTTCCAATTACTCCAATTCCTATCATCAAGTTAATACAGACAGTAATGTGCCTGGTGCTGGAGAGAAATCATTCAGGTAAGCTGAGGCTACTCCTTCTGTTTCTCCATCTGCTAAGCTGTTAACACGAAGACATATTGACAAGGGCTCAAGGAAAACATGGAATATTTCATCAGTAAGATTATGCTGCCCTAGAGACAGATGTTAGAAAGCTGCAATATTTAAAAATAAAGAGATAAACACATGCTTGAGGGGAAGGAATAAAATAGTTTTAGGGCTGGGAGAGAAAATTAAAAAGAAAGGAAAAATGGAAAAATAGAGGACAGGTTTGTATGTCCACAGGAAATAGTAAATCCTTATTGTGTAGGGAAAAAACTTTTTTATCTGCCTCAGGCAATCATTTACTATTAGGTAGGCATTCTTGGAGTACATTGGGGCAGATCTGTAAGAAGTGCTTAGAAGGGCTGATTATGATTACAGAGAACAGATTTATTTCTTGTCATCAGATGGTTAATGTCAAGGCTTTGACTTAAAACCATATACACTAGTTTTCATAAAAATTTAAACATGAGAAATGTTATACTATGGTAATTCACATTCAGGAATATAAAACCAATGTTAAATAATGATAACTCTGTATTTATCTGGTGACTTACACTGCAGAGGTCAAAGTACTTTGTCTTCACTTAGTTTTACTAGAGAAACATAGTGAAACAGTATTATAATGGCGGGTTATAAAAGAATATTTACAAATGACATATAGTTGCCATGGATTAAGTCAACAGAACATTTTAAACTATAGATTTTCTTTTTTGCTATAGTTTTCATACTTTTATAAATAAAATGCAAAGAGTGGTAATAGGAAAGTGAAAGGAACTATGGCCTTGAATTCAAACAGACTCAGGTTCAGATCCTAGATATTTACTTTGCTTCTTTGAGTTTGTTTCCTCATCTATAAAACACCCACCTTGTAAGGTTGCTGAGAAAATTAAATATATCATTAATAAGAGTCCTAGCATCGCCTGAGTATCACTGGCACTCAATAAATGGCAAGTTATGTCATTAACAAGAAAACCAAATTAACACAAACAAGGAGGTCAGATATTACAATTTAATGACTGGTTATCTTTTTCTTAAAATCTCCAAGTTCTGGTTATATCATAGAAGCCCTGACTCATGACTTTCTTCCACTGGGAAAGAGAATGACAGAGGATGAGTTCCCAGAGAAAAGGGGGTAAAATAGAATACTTCTTCCAGAAAAGAGGAAGAAAGGAGAGGAAAGTGGCCCGAGGTGGGTCTGACTTGATGGTCCTGACTACCCCTCAAAGATGAGAACCCAGATAAATAACACCACAAACTGAAAGCAGAGGGGCTTCCCGTTGAGCATTCCGGGAGGAGGCAACCTTGCCAGACGACCACAGCCAACACGGGACTACACAAACAGAGTGAAATGCGGCCTGGTGTGAGTGGGCCAAAGAAGGTTCTGTGACGGCTGGCCTCAAATTTTCTTCGCTCTTGTGCAGAAGGCTCTTGAATCCAGGTGTTCCTTTATAATCCCAGTAGGGTATGTGGGAGGTTGTTGTTGGGAGTGAGAAGGCATTGGGGTCACTTGAGATGACCCCAGAAAAGGTGCTGCAGAGCACGCGGGCTAAGCCAGGGCTCAGAGGGCAGGCGTGGCTGAGACACCAGGAATTGCAATGCTGTGGAGAAGTGAGAAGAGAGCAAGTGAGCAAGAGAGGGCTATAGGTTTTAACCCCTCTAAAATATAAAATACCGGTTTTAGCAGCAGATCAACAAGGTACCAGTAACCTGTTTAGACTAGATCTATCTCCGTGGATGCCAGTGAGAATTCAGATGACAGCACGAAGATCACACATGGATCTGGGGCTCTCTCCCCTCTCAGCCATAAGGACACATGAACTTTTCCTGACACCTAAAAGCCACTTCTGCCAGGACAAGGGGAGAAGGGAGAACACGGAAACACCCCCCAAAATCCTATTTTAAACCTAAAGAAACCAAGGTGCTTGCTCTTGCCATCTTCAAATCCCAGCCCATCCTACTCTACTCCAGAAGAAATTTATTTCAATTCTAAAGAAATGAAAGGCCTTTTTAGCTCTTGATAAGCTAGATACAATGTGTCTGATTCTATAAGTCATATTTCCTCTCTCTGAGACCTGGAGATGAAACCAAAATATCCATTATGTCTCTTTATTCATAACGTTAAGGTGTGCTAATTATATTAGGTAATAGGAAGTAGTACCTTATATACATTTCCCCCCCTACTTTCCTTTTTAAAATAACCGCATTGGTAATTTGGGAATTTCCTTCCTTCCTTCCTTCGTTCAATGAATATTTGCTGAGTACCTACCATGAATGAATAATGTGCCAAGAGTTTAGGAAACAAAGATAAATGAGACATGGGCTCTGTCCTTAATAAGATGGAAAGGTTTCTAGGATGTGCAAACGGAATACACAAGTTAAAGAAAGGCTAGTTGAGTTTTGCTGCCCCTTGCTGAATAGCTGCCCACAAAACAACAAAACCTTATGGCAGTGAAGGTGCATTTTTCTCATCTACAAAATAAAAATAAGCACATAAAGGTTAGAATGCACAGAGCAGTTAACAAGCATAGTTTTCCACAAAATCATAATTATAGAAAAGTCAGTTTCTGGAAAAACAATAATAAATCAAGTTGCAGGACAATCAGAGGCACACCATACAATATCATATTTTTTTTTAAAAAAGTATATTTGCTGTAATAGAAAAGTAATAAGATGTAAGAGTGGGTCAGAAAGACTATTATCATTACCTTTTTCAATGTTTTTCAAATAGAATTAAGATAGGCATGCAAAAATAGTTATACAAAAACGAAATATTATATAGTTGTTTTAATTTTCTCAGTACTCCTTGATCATTTTAAGACATTAAATTTTAAAAGCTAAATAGGAAACCAATAAATGCCCCAGGGTAGTATGCTGTTTAATGGTACAGACATTTTTTATAATGATTCTTTTTAAAATATGAATATTAAAACCCTGAATTTATTAGCTTATTAAAGTTCAAATTTTTACATATCCAGGATTTCTTAGAGGTGGGCAATGGAAGTGTGAGAAATATTTTAATTATTAACATGATTTTATGAACACAAAACAGAACTTTATGCTCTACTTTTTTTTAATGCTTTACTTAAAGAAAAAAACCCTATGATGTTTTGAAGATATTGGTCTATAGAAAAGCATTGCAGAATGTTTCCAGAAAGGTCTGGCTCCTAGAACGACTGCCATTCACATAATTTTTAATATCCTCTCTTCCTTCTATCTTCTACCATAAAGCTCATTAGAATTTATATACTGGAGCACAGAGTACACAATTTAGGAAAAACCTCTGCTTTTATCAGTTACCCCTGACAAAGTTGGTGTTTCATTCACCCTAAATGTACTTCACTCACTGATTGAAAAGTGGCATTGTTAGAGATTATAAATAATTCAACAAATGGTATCTATCTGATTAGTATTTCAAAACAATATTTTATCTCTTCCCAACCCCCTCTTTATCTTCATGGAGTGCATTTGCATTTGAAATCTATGGTTTCTGGCATATCTGGGGTAAGGTTATACTAGGAATTTACCAGACCTGTCAGTCTCCAACTTTCTTCCATATTTCATTATATCATTCCAGTTATAATTAGTTGTCTGGTAAAATTAAGAACAGTCTATTTCAGTGAATGCTCATGTGAACATTTAACAACTTTTTGTTAGGATGACAGCTTAGCGACAGAAAGAATAAACCAGAAAGGAGAGTCACTGAAGTAACCCTGGCTAACTCAGTATTGCCAGCTCAATGGAAAATTTTGTGATTTTTGCAGGGTTTTCTTCTTTTTTATTATTAATCATCAAGCCCATACTTCTTGTCAGGAGTTAAGCATCAGCTCGATGGCATTCCTGCCTCAACTAGCATGTTTTGAACTGACCTGTCTTCATTGCTACGGCTCCCTAGAAACTTTGCTGTTGATTAGCATTGATTCAGCTGAATGCTTTGACATTCAGCTTGTCAGTGAAAGCTATTTTAATCATTAAGATGCATCTCCCTTCCAAGATTGCAAACTGTTGCTGCTCATACACAACATTCTATCATTTGATTACTGCAGAAAAGAAAAGGAAGGAGGCTGGTTACTATTACTACAGATTATATTAAGAGCTAAAATTTACAGAATATTTGTGTGTGAGGTATTATCCTAAGCAATTTACAGGAACTGTCTCATTTAATCCATACCATCACGGAGTCTCACTACCATGCTCTGCGTTCCTGTTTTCCATTTATTATCTGTGAGACATGCAGCCCTTATCTGTAAAATGGAGTGATAGTAATACCTACTTCTGCGGATGTTATGAAGATTAAATGAGAGCATTCATAGACACTCCCCAGAATAGTATCTATAACATAGTGAGTTCTCATATTTTTAGTAGTAATTTTTATTACTCTGTACAGGAAGACACGGAGTCTCCTTCACCAACTGCCCTATTCACCACCACTTCTAACTTTAACCATCTCTCTTGCCTAGGCCCAAGGGAGGAGATAGAGGAAAATGGAAAGTTATTCTTTTGGGACTTCATTCTGTAGGTATTTGAACTCCAGCTCGTCAAGAGGGTACGTGACAATTGTGGGAGGATAATAAACCTTTAAACTTTTTCCTCCTCTTCTTTCTGTCCTCACAATAGGCTTTTCCCATAGAGGCAACTAAGTGTTTACACGAGTGAAACCCTGTTGAGTAGGGTGGAGGCGAGGGATGATAACTGAGATTTTAGACAGTTTAAGGGATCTCAGAATAGAAGGGGCATTTCTTCCAGGCTTTAATGAGAGGCATAAAGGCAGCAAGGTGACAGAATCCCAGCTTCCCATGCCCAAGTTTGTACAGGAGCAGAAAACAGGTGTCATGTGACTAAGCAGGTAGCACTGGGTGGCCTCAAGAGCTCCCTCCCTGTGCCACATTCTGGAGAGAGAGCAGCAGAATGATCCGAAGCTCTGCGGGGAAGCAGAATTTCTCACACTCCACAGCCCCACTAGGATGTTTCCCATTGTTGAAGAAACTGTGCTGTCTTGTTACTAGAACTCCTTCTTTTTTCCCCCAGCACACATCTAAACTACATTTCCTAGCTTCCCCAGCAGTTAGTTAGAAAAGTGGTACATCCTTTAAAACCTACATAAACCTCTGTATGAATTTTTTTCCCCTATCTGCAAGGTGAATGTATATAAACCAGTAGTGGACACATGATTCTAGGAAATGGCAGAGTCACTAAATCAGGGGTTCTTAACCTGAGATTTAATAACAGAATTTAGGAGATGATGACCTTGGACCTGGAACAAAAAAAAATTGAATTTTCATTAACCTCTTTATGAATGTAGGCACCAATGCATAGTAATCCTAGCGTTACCTGTGGCTTTGTCTCCAACCAAAATACCTAAACCATAGGTATTTTTTTCTAATGTTTTATTTATTTCTGAGAGAGAGAGAGAGAGAGAGAGTGAGCAGGGGAGGGTCAGAGAGAAAGGGAGACCCAGAATCTGAAACAGGCTCCAGGCTCTGAGCTAGCTGTCAGCACACAGCCCGATGTCGGGCTCGAACCCACGAACTGTGAGATCATGACTGAGCCGAAGTCAGACGCTTAACCGACTGAGCCACCCAGGCGCCCCAACCATAAGTATTTTCAAATTATATTACAGATGTTGAAGGTATCTCAAAATATCATTTACAACAAAATTTTCACTGAAGCAGCAGTCATTAGACCCACTGCTTAATTTTTAAATTTCATATGATAATAAATTTATTTAAACAGAGTTTGCCAACTCTATTTCAATAAAATTGATTTCCTTTGAAATCCCATATAATTTGTATGCCTTTTAAAAACAACTTTATTAGGTATTTATTAGAAGGGATCTCTAGGCTTCACCAGATTGCCAAAGGAGGCTATGGAAAAAAACAAGTTAAGAACAATTGTTCTAGATGGAGTCCTGAATGACTTTACAGAGCAGAGTCCCTTCTTCCCTCTCCCTCTCATATCCCTACCACACTGCTCACCCATACTGGACCATGATATGAGAAATAAGCTGTTATTCCATTAACCTACTGAGATTGGAGGTTACTCTTTTTAGAACAGTTAGCCTATGTAGACTAATCCCTGAATTCAATTATCCCTGAAGTTGGACCCTGAGATTTATAACTGTCACACAATAATTTTCATATTTCATATTATTTATTTTTTCTCTTCCCCATTAGGGTGACAGTGTTTCTCACAGTAAGTACTTTTGAATTCACCGTATATATATAAATATGAATGTAAACATATATAATAAAAATCTAAATAACATGGACTTTAAAAAACATAAATCCTTTATATACAAATGCACATTATTTTTAAAAGCTATCTTTAATTAGCTCTGTTCTGCTTAAAATCCTTCTTAGTTACAGTGTAAAAACTGAAGAGAAGTGAGTAACCATAAAGATGAGATCAATATTATTTAAATCCTTCTATATAGGAATCTGGAAATTGGTAATTTTTTAGAAGGCTTGTTAATTTAAATAAAATAGTCTTGACAGAGCCCTTCAGAGTTGGGGTTTTTTTCCTCCTGATTTTAAGTATCTTTTTAATTGTAGCTAATTCACATACAGTGTTATAGGAGTTTCAGGTGCCCAGTATAGTCACTCAACACTTCATTACATCACCCAGTGTGCTCATCACAAGTGCTCTCCTTAATCTCCATCACCTATTTCACCAAACCCCACCTCCTTCAAGGTTTTTAAGGCAGATATAAATTTGACAACACTTCTCTTAAGGCATTAAGTTTTAACTTTACCTCCCCTTTTAGACTGTTTTGCTGCCTTTATCTTAACCTTAGACAAAATGAATCAGTCATTTTGAAACATTCAGGTTGTTAAAAGACAGATGCAGAGAGTCCTCTGAGGATAGACTCTTTTTAACTTCTGTGAAATTACGGTCTCTAAATTTTTATGACCTCTGGAACTACATGAATGAAAATAAAATAGGGTTAGTGTGCAATACAGTTTGGGTTTCAGCATTAAAAGGTGTAGAAAAACAGAATACATTTATTTTTAAGTGTTATATAGTATAAACATCAACCTGTCCAGATCATGATTGTTTACCAACTCCAAGCCTCATGCCTGGCAAGTAAATACTTTTATGAATGAGTAAATCAAACAGCATTTCCTTTAACTATATGTAATGTCTATCACTCATGACTGCGCTTTGTTATGAGAAAGTTGCTTTTTTTACACGTAAGGGTAAGGTGACTAGGTTTAGAATTTAAAGCTTCTACACTGACAGTAGCTCACTGATCTTTGAAATTCTTAGGGTGTTAGAAAGTTCCCGATGGAAATTAAATAGTCTTTTAAAACTACTTCCTAGTGGCTGCTTTGTGTTGGTATTAGTGTGTATTAGAATGTATAATAATTTTTGTTCTTTGAAATTTTTAAGTCAATTTTCACACATTCAACAGAGTAAAGAATATAGCACAATGAACCCCTCAAGTACCTAATTGCAACCTCACAAATGATCATATGTTGCTATTCTTATTTTATACATTTCTCGCTCCCCAGCTTCTTTTTCCCCTCTTTTTTTCCTGGAATATTTTCCTATTCTTTCACTTCTAATTATTTCAGTAGGTATCTCTAACAGAAGAAGACTTAAAAAAAACACAATACCAGCTAGCTCACCAAACAAAATCATTGACAATTCCTTAAGAACAGAGCCCGAGTTCAAGTCTTGCTTGGTTGTTTCAAAACGTCTTGTCTTTGATTGTTTAAATGAGGACCCAAACAATGTCTACATTTGGTGTATATATATATATATATATATACATATATAGTTGCATTTGGTTAATTTGGTTAATATATCTCTTAAGTTTATTTTAATAAATTCCTCCTCCCTTTTAAAAAATGACATTTATTTGTTTGTTGGAGAAACCAGGTTGTTTGTTCTGTAGAAATTCTCTCACTCTGTATTTGGCTGATTGCATCATGGCACACTTTAATGTCCTCCTTTTTTTTCTTTCTTATAAAAATGGTAGTTTTTTTTAAACTAAACCCTTGTTTGGATTCAAGATTAACTTCACACATACATATTTACACATAAAATTTTCTTTGGGCAAGAATATTTCATAGGTATTACTGTGCACTCACTATTGCATTAGGAGGCATATAACATTTGTCACCCTTTTAGTGATGTTATACTTGCCCAGTGACTTCAAGTGTTGTCAGTCTGATCATAATGACAAAGTGGCTTCAACTATCACCTAATAGTATTAGCCACTGATGACAGTTGGCTAGATCAATATTTCATCAGGAGTTGCAAAACAGTGATTTTACAGTCCTATCATTCATTCTGCATTTATTGGCTGTAATTCCATAAAGAAGAAATTTCTTCCACCAACTATGTGGATACCCCCAAATGTAATTCACACCAAAAAAGCTGCGTAAATGCTGGTTTCTTTCACTAAATTTAATCTACTTTTAGCGCATGAATGGGAGTCCTCTTAACTTCCGGTAGTGAGCAACGAGTTTCCTCTAATCCAGTCTACACTCTTCCCCAAGGTTACCAGATGGTCCAGCAGGACTGGGGCTGGATGGGATGCGGCAGGCCACGCTATGGTGCAGGGATTTAGGGTAGGAAGGGATTGGATCAGGGAAGACAATACCTTTAACAGGTTCTAGAAGGTAGACTCTGAATCTTCTGAGCTGTTCGGGGCATCGGTGCTCTCCGCGGACTCGCTGGGTTCCTTGCTGTCATTGCCACTATCGTCAGGAGCCGGGTTCTTCTGAGCATCCTTTTCGGAACAAGGAAGTGTGCCTCCCTGGGATTCCTGGGTTTCCCTGGACCCCAACACCACATACCTGCCCTTCTTCAGCTCCAGCTGCCTTCTCAGCTCACTGGCCATGTGCGAGAGATCTCGCTTCATAGCATAAGCGTCTTCCCCGTCTGCGTAGTATTTGGGTTCCACCTCACTAACCTGAAAGTTGAGCGTGTTAGAATAGAGGTGCAAGGCTGCTCGGTTACTCTTCCTGACGTGCAGGGACACGTACTTGGCACTAAAATTCTCGATCATGGCCCGGGAGGCCTGGTCCATCAGCTTCTGAGCCAGGCCGAGGCGCCGGTGAGAACGCTTCACGGCCAGTGAGGTGATATGTCCATGCGGGACATCATCTGGGTCCTCCTCCATTTTGGCCAGGACGTAGCCCACAATCTTCCCGTCCTCGTCCTCAGCAATGTAAGAAAGCTGGGGCCAGGAAAGGCCATGGTAGAAATAGTATTTCATCTGGTAGTTCTCGGGAAGGCAAAGAAGGTTGCAGTGTTGCATGTTAATCAGGTCGTCTGGCCGAGCATTGCGGATGTTCATAATGGCGGTGGGTAGCAAAAGGGAGTCGGATGGTGGCGACCGAAAAGGGGCTGCCACCAAGCGCAAGAGTCGCTTTTTGCCTCGAGGACTTGAGTCCAGGGAGCCGAAGTCGTAGGGCTGGACGACGTGGACGCCGGCCGTCAGGAAGGCGGGATGAGCTGGAGACGGAAGGGGCGGTGCTAAGACTCAGCTTTCAAAGTGCGCCGCCTCGTCTCAGCCAATGAGGTTTTCATGTTTTATAGCTGCTGCGCGCGCAACGTTTAGGGGGTGGGGACGTGCAGTTTATCATGATCTCCTTGGTTTTAAATGTAACGTTTGGACTGTTGCTGCCTCTAATCTTTTATTTGTTTCAATTTTCAACTTCTTCATTTGGATACATCTCGAATATAGATCGATAACCGGAACATTGCACACACCCCAGAAATACCCGCTCGGATCCCCTTGCAGTACCCTCTGACTCACTGTCCCAAAGTAACCATCACCTACATTTCTAACAGTCTCTGTATAAATGGAATCATGGTGCATACACTGTTTTTGTGTTGAGATTCCCGCCCCCCCCCACCCCCTTTTATTTGTTTTGGCTACCTTGTGTATCGTTGGGAGCTCCTCATATTCTTTCCTGTTTAATATTCCATTGTCTAAATATATCACACTCTAGTGTTGATGACAGTTTGTATTATTTCCAGTTTGGGAATATAGTGATTAATGTAGCTAAACGTTCTGGAACATGCCTTTTGTAGAAACATGCATACTTACCCAGGATTAGAATTGCTGGGTTAGAAGATACCATGATGTTCAACTTTTGTAAATAATGTTAAGCAATTTTGCAAGGTGGTTGCTCTGTAACCGAACCCAAATCTGTCTGACGCCTGTGCAGCAAAGCCCATCACTGAGATATCAGGTATGCAGCAAGGAAAGTTTATTGGAGAAGCAGCTGAACAGAAAATGGGAGGACAAACCTCAAATCTGCCTCCCCAAGGGAGAAAGAACAAGATTTTTTGTTTTTTTTTTTTTAAATAATCATAGGGATTGAAATTTATATGTATTGATAAAAAGGGCAAGAAACATGAGGAAAGGTGGAGCATGTGCATTGAGCAAACATATATGTAAAATACATCCCATGTTCACTTTGGGAGTAGAGACAACATCAGAAGGAGGCTAAATTCAGCCCCTGAGCTCATGAAATTATCTTAAGACAAGGAGAAAGGCTATGGGTATGCTCTGAGAGCAGATATAAACTAGGTGGGTTTGGGGCTTGTTATTTCAGGGAAGAAATGCAGGGCCTTGCTTGTTCCTAGGCTGGAACCACATCAGTGGACCTTGAGTCCAGGCTTCCTTAGAGACAGCTAGTGGATTTGTTAGTGGAGTCTGAAAAGACACAATAGCTGATTAGGGAGAGACAGTTCTCTGAAAAACAAACTTTAAACTTTCGCTGGTTTCAACCTCATTAACCCAATGGGGCATGGTTTTCTTTTATTGCTTGTGTGGGGGTAGTGGTATTATATTGTGGTCTTATTTTGCATTTACCTGATGACTAAAGAAGTTGGACACCTTTTTTACATCCTTATTAACCATTCTCTGTCCTTTTGTATGAAATGGCTATTCAAGTCTTTTCTTCATTTTTCTATTGGGTTGTATGTCTTTAGCTCATTAATATTTAGTACTTTTTAAATGTAAAATTCCAGTATACTTAACATACAATGTAATATTGTTTCCGGTGCACAATATAGTGATTCAATAATTCCATACATCACCCAGTGCACTCTTTAATTCTTACCATTTATTTAATCCATCCCCCCACCCCAACCATCAGTTTGTTCTCTACACCTAAGAGTCTGTTTCTTTGTTTATCTCTATTTTTTTCTCATCTATTTCTTAAATGCCATGTATTAATGAAATCATATAGTATTTATCTTCCTCTGACAGACTTATTTCAGTTAGCATTATATATACTCTAACTCCATCTGTGTTGCAAATGGCAAGATTTTATTCTTTTTTATGGCTGAATAATATTCCATTCTGTATATATACCAAACCTTTATCCAATCATCTATCAACAGATACTTGGGCTGCTGCCATAATTTGGCTGTTGTAAATAATGCTGCTATAAACATGCCGGGTGCATGTAACACTTTGAATTCATGTTTTTTTATTTTACTTTATTTTTTGGGTAAATACCTAGTAGTGTAATTACTAATTCATAGGGTAATTCTATTTTTAATTTTTTTTTTTTTTGAGAGAGAGAGTGAGCACACATGTGCAAGAGAGAGGCAGAGGGAGAGGGAGAGAAAGAACGTTAAGCAGACTCCATGCCCAACACTGAGCCTGATGCAGGGCTCAATCTCACAACTGTGAGATTATGACCTGGGCCAAAATTGAGAGTTGGACATTTAACTGACTGAACCAGCCAGGTGCCCGTGTTTTTAAATTTTTAAGGAAACTCCATGCTGGTTTCCACAGTGGTTGCACCAATTTGCATTCCCACATCCTCACCAACACTTGCTATTTTGTTTAATAGTTTTAAAATATATATATTCTGGGGAGGGGCACCTGGGTGGCTCAGTTGGTTGAGCATCTGACTTCGGCTCAGGTCACGATCTCGCGGTTTGTGTTCAAGTCCTACGTTGGAGTTGCTGCTGTCAGTGCAGAGCCTGCTTCAGATCCTCTGTCCCCCTTTCTCCACTCCCCCCACTTGTGCTCTCTCAAAAATATACATTAAAATATTTATATATGTATATATATTATACATATTCTGGATAAGAATCCTCTGTCAGATACATTATGGTGCATAGCATCCTACTCTATTGGTTGATTTTTCACTCTCTTAATTGTGATTTTTGACACCAAGCTGGAATTTTAATGTAGTCCAATTTGTCCAGTTTTTAGATTTCATGTTTAGTGCTTTTTGTGTCCTGTTCAAGAAATCTTTGCCTACTATTAGGTTACAGAGATGTTCTTCTATGTTTTCTTCTGAAAGCCTTTTTGTTTTACATTTTATGTTTAGATATGCAGTCCACTAGAATATATTTCTGTGTAAGTTCTGAGGTAGAGATTCAGCTTTTTTTTTTTTTTTTTTTTTTGCTTATATGGATATTCTGTTCATCTAGCACAATTCATTGGAAAAAATCATACTTCCTCCACTGGATTGCATTGTTTCCTTTGTTATAATGTAAATGAACCCTAGTTCATTTGCTAGATGCACAACAGAGACAGTCACTGAGACATCCAGTTATGTAGTAAGGAAGGGGTTTATTTGAGAGGCAGCCAATAAGGAGACAGGAGGGCAAGCCTCAAATCTGACTCAGTGGAAGAGGAGGAGAGTTGGGAAATTTAAAGACAAATGAAAAGTTTGAGTAAAAAGTTGCAGCTGGCTTAGTATCTGCAGCATGAATAGTACCATTAACCTTTTGGTTACTGGTTTCAATAAATCCTAAGTTGCATTTCCAGATACATTAAGGAATTTTTATGCCATCGTGGTAAAGCAAGATTTGGGGTATTCCTTTGATAGCGTAGAGAAGTCACATTTTATTAGCCCCACTTGCACATAAGCTGGAAATAGGTCCTAGAATTATACATATATTTTGTACAACTTTCCTTTCCAGTTTTCTAGCATATCACTACCTGGAGATTCAAACACCAAAAATGTTTATTCTGTTGTAATTGGGTAGTCTATTTTCTTATATCATTCGCCAAGTCCTAGTTATATCTAACTCATCTACATTATGTATGTGGCATTTCCATCCAATAAAGGTAGACAGGTGTTTACTAGAACCATGTGCTTTGTGAAACATAGCTTGAATAGCAACTATTTTTGTTTGTAATGTAGCAGTTAGCTCTGTTTTTATTAAAAAGTGTTTAAGATTTAAGATACGATTTTAGGGGTGCCTGGATGGCTCAGTCTGCTAAGTGTCCGACTTCGGCTCAGGTCATGATCTCACGGTTCATGAGTTCAAGCTCCACGTCTGGCTCTGTGCTGACAGCTCAGAGCCTGGAGGCTGCTTCTAATTCTGTCTCTCTCTCTCTCTCAGAAATAAATAAAACATTAAAAAAATTTCAGATAAGATTTTAGTTTCTTGATGTTTTGATCAACTCTCTACACTATTTCCCATTATTATTCCCATTCAGAAATTTCTGTTTCATTTTGCACCTCACTCTGTGGATAGGGATATATACCTAGAGATGGCATAGCTCTAAAAACAAACCAAAAGAGGGTGCCTGGGTGGCTCAGTCGGTTAAGTGTCTGATTTCAGCTCAGGTCATGATCTCAGTTTGTGAGTTCGAGCCCCGCATTGGGCTCTGTGCTGACAGCTCAGAGTCTGGAGCCTGCTTCAGATTCTGTGTCTCTGTCTCTGTCTGCCCCTCCCCCATTTGTGCTCTATCTCTCTTTCTCTCAAAAATAAATAAACATTAAAAAAACAACAACAAAAATCCAGAAGAGTCATTTGGTTGATTGTTTTAAAGGTATGAACTACCAAATGGGAGTATCTTGTGTTCTTCTATAGAAACATTGTGTCTTTACTGGACTTCTAAAATATAGGCTTGGTAAGTGGGGAAGGTGAGACAAAAGAAACTCACACGGGATTAGGCTCGCTCAATTATTTATCTATCATTGCAATCTCTTTTGTTCATCTTTCTCTTCCATGGTCCAGGAAAACAAAATAAAGAAGACCCTTGGACCCATACATTTGGGAAGAAAAGGCGCCTTATTAATGAGAATATTTGTTTGATTGATTTGGTTTAATCCTGAATCTGAGCTCTAATGTTAGAGTAAGGCAACAACAGAAAGAATTTTCAGAAGCGGAAATGGCAGTCAGTTACTTTGGTTGTGGTCTGAACCAAAGCATTTCCATGCCTGAGTTGTTTGGGGAGCAACATAGTTTATAACAGCTATATTATAAAAGAATCGTATGACACGTGACAGATTATCAATGAACGAACAAATAAACTATTTTTATACTTACTGAGGTGATAAGCTCTCATTGTTTCTTCCACTGACCATGGTCATAAACAACACCAAACATAGACTCAGTCATGTGGGTAAGTAAGAATAGATAGCAGAGAAAAATGTTCTGCTTTCTCATGTTACTGCATAGTCCAAACCCACCTTTTTTCTGGCCCAGTGACTGGGTACATCTACATAAAAT